ATATATATATATAAACCGGAAATATAGGGTAAAAAAAATTCATTGGCAGATGTAACCGGGAAATTCAGGGGTACTTCTGGCTATAAGCAGAGCTCAATTTGAGGCTTCAAATAATACCAATTCTCTTTTCATGAAGAAGCCCTAATGGCATAGTGATTAAGCTCTTGGCTGTTGTTGGTGGTTTGACCTACTTATCACTCCATGGGAGAAAAAATGTGGCATTCTGCTTCCATAAAGATCATAGACTTGGAAACCATATGGGATAATTCTACTTTGTCTTATAGGGTTGTTATGAGTTGGGATTGACTCAATGGCAATGGGTTTAGTTTTAATTTCTCTTTTTATGTGGAAGACAAAATGGCCACTCACATCCAAAAATTTGCATGCTACCATCTTAGTAAGTTATGTATTCTAAGAGCAGCAAGAGAAAAGCCTCAGGATTGACTAGGATTGTGTTCTTGGCCTTCTTTAAAGGCACACCCTTCTTGATTTTAGGCCAGTATCCCCTTGTTCTGTTCAAACAATGGCCTCTTTGTCTATGTATAGGTTCCTCACAAGCACAATTAAGTGTTCTGAAATTCTCATTCTTTGTAATGTTATCCATAATTTGTTATGATCCACAGACTCAAATGCTTTGAATTTCGAGTTTTATTAAATTTTAAAATATGCTTACCGTAAGACTTTCTTGACTCAAACAAAATGGGTGTGGGAGTGAAAGTCATGGCCACATTATCCCAGCAGCCCTTAGTAGATGCCCTCCAGCCAAAGACCACCAGGAACACACTTGTAGTTGGGCAAGTGGCTTTATTACTCTTTGCAGGAGAACCATGGAGTATCTCAGTAAGAAGATGTTAGAAAAGACTTCAAGGATTTGGACTTGTGTGACATGATTTTGGGGAGGGTTTGAGGAAGCAGAGCTTTGCTTTGGATTGGATACTGACAAGGAGTGGGAATCTCAATAATTTTTATCTCAAGGGAGAGCACATTAGATTGAAGTTAAGGCTGTAATTGATGAAGAAGCAGCAGTCACTCATATTTGCTAGAGAGGGAGTGCCTAGTATTTTATGGCTTTGACAATGTTCGGATTCATTCTCTGCTCAGGCACAGTTTCAAAGTTTTCTTGCTTTTGTCTTGACCCTTCACAATCACAGAGTGGCCTTGTGTGGTGTTGATTTCTATGAAATTGTTTATGTGCAACAAGAGTACATCAAGGCCTAGGTGATAATACTAGGCCAGCTCCCAGTACTAGGCTATGCCCTTCTTTTCTTTCTCAAGTAAAACTCACAAAAGTTGGTGAAGAAGCTTTCAACAACATAAATGTTTGTGTCTCAGATGCTGAACCTCAACGATGTTTCTGCTTTATAGACACTTAACTCACCATAAACTATTTTAACACTATCTGTCTTCAGGGTTTTTTATCTTGGATGGATGGTTTCAAAGCAATTAGAAGAAGAAATTTCACCTCTGATCTTTTTTTGTTTTGGCAGTATTTTGAGTTTATATTATTATCCTGTTTAGATTATACTGTAGCAGACAAACACTATATATATATATATATATATGTATATTTAGAATTTTCCTTGCCTTAATGTTAATCTTCACAATGCATTTCCAAACCCTAGTTTATATTGGTTGGTTTTTCATAGATTCCTGGGAAGCCACATGGCGCAGTAAAAAAGAGTACCAGGATACAAATTAGATAAATTTTCTTTAATCCTGAATCTTGGGAACATCACTTAACTATAAGGAATCTCTGTTTCCTACTCTGCAAAATGTAGGTCATGTGACCTGATCTCTGTTGTGAAAAGTGTGCTCATTAAAGCAACCCTTAATAAATTAGGATAGTATCAAGCTGCTGTAGGAACTGTTAAGTACAATACAAATGTTATAAAAATAATAATGTGTTTTTGGGTAGTCTGTGTGAAAGAACTAGAGAATTATGCTTTGGATTTGAATTTCCAAACCTTAATTACAATTCCTTATCTTGTTCTGTGCCCTCAAGCTATTTACTGATAAGAACAAAGTCAGAGTACAGGTGTGCTCCACATAATGTCAGTTTGGGCAACCTCAGACCATATATATAGTGGGTGGTGGGGTGGGGAGGAGGGGCTTCTTTGGAAGGTTGCCAGGAGGCGAGGCTGGCACCGATTTTGTGGCACTGGGGCAGCCCCATGCACAGCTCAGCTCCTCCAGCTGTGGCCAAAGCACATGGGGTTTGCACCCCCAGGTTGCAGCTGGCACAGCTCTCATGGCTGCCACTGGCACATGGTCTGTTGCCCAGCTGTAGAAGACACTAGGCTGCCCCTCTCCCTGCTGTGACCCTCTGGCCATCAGATTCTGACCAGGCTCCCTGGGGCTGTTGGGAGAAAACTCTGTGCCTAGAGGCAGCCAGTTGCAGGTGCAAGTTTGCAAACCCGTGAGGCTCCAGTCAGGACACTAACAGGGAGCCAAAGCAGTTGCACAGGGTTACTTTGATATATGTTTATAGCATAGTGGCTAAAGCACTTGACTGCTAACCAGAAGGCTGGCAGTTCAAACCCACCAGCCACTCCTCGGAAGGAAGGTTGGGCAATCCTACTGCCGTAGTGATACTGCCTCGGAAACCCAAGGAGGGGTCACTATGAGTCGGGGCTGACTCGACGGCACATAACATATAACATAACATATATAATATGGTGTTCTCACAACATACGAATCACAGAATATATTGTGGCTGTTAAGTGATGCACACCAGCATTTCAACGATGATTTATTATTTTCACTCTACTAGCGTATGGAGCTCTGGTAGCATAGTGGCTAAGGCACTTGACTGCTAACCAGAAGGCTGGCGGTTCAAACCCACCAGCCACTCCTCAGAAGGAAGGTTGGGCAATCCTACTTCCGTAGTGATACTGCCTCGGAAACCCAAGGAGGGGTCGCTAAGAGTCAGGGCTGACTTGACGGCACATAACAACAACAACAAAGCGTATGGAAAAAAGAGATTTGAAGAGAGCTGGAAAAAGTATAGCTTCCAATGGCTCTAAGCTTGCCTGGTGATATGACGTGGGGCATGTCAAAGTCTGGAGGGCTTCCTGGGCTCCAGGACGGATAAAATTATGTTCAGGGTGAACCTCAAGAGATCCTGAGATGGAATCTATTTCTTCTTTCTATTTGTGTAGCATTACTAAATGAAGGACTTGTCAGAAATGTGGACAACTGGTCCCAACCTCATACAGGGTGGGGACTTGTTTGTGAGACCTCTATGCTACCTTTGCTTATGTTCAGTGGTTCTAACTTGATCTTTCAGATCTCTCTCTTTTTTTTTGGCTATCATCTCAGACATCAGCTTATGCCAAGCATTTCTGATGTTTGCCATCTCTGCTATATATCTTTATAGCTATTTATCTAAGCTTTAGGTTTCTAAGTATATTTCTCCTAAAACATGGATTTTCAACTATATAATTTTTATACACAATGAAAATTCATAAGGAAAAACTTCTCAGCACTCCTTCCCCAGTATTCCAAAATATTAAGAACAGAACAGGGAAAAGGGATTCTCTGATAAATTGAAGATTATACCCTTAACTTTTCTCTTCTACAATATTAAATAATGATGAAACTAGTAATTTGATTTTCAGCATCCTGAGTTTTCAGGAGGGCTAAG